GGGCTTCTGGTGGGACGGGCGCATCAGCAGACACTTCATCAGGAGGCTTGGAATCGTGCCGAGCAAAGAACAAGTCCATTTGGTCTTGAGGAGCACGAACAATGCCAGGATGAAGTCCTGGAAGATTTGTTTGGTGGTGTTCGGCTCCCGTTTTTTGGGTGGTTTGTGCCAAGCCCTGAGATTCATTTCTGATGCCAGCATAGTGGAAATCATACTTCCGAGCTTTCAACAGAGATTTGGAAGACAATGTTTTTTTTTAGATAGTCCAGTCCGAGTTTGGATTCCATTGGATACATTGGATACGGTTGTTTCCCAGTTTTTCTGGATTATGTAGAGTCCAGAGTCCATAGGATAGGTTTGTATTCATGCTTATGTTGACGGTTGGTGTGCGGCAACCAACTTGAACCAAGCCAGTCAGGTGCTCCAAGCAAAACCTTGATGATCGCAAGGGGGCAAGCCTTCTGGGAGGAAAAGGTTCCGCTTTGTTTCAGTCGACATGGATTTGAGACAAAGGATCCAATTCGGTGCCCTGTTGAATTCCATGTCCCATGCGTCATGCAACAGCTGAATTCAAGCCCTGCCTGCAGTGAGCTCGGAATCCTACCCCTGTCACAAACCCTTCTAGAAGGTTCTTGGATGAGATCCATCAAACTTCCTCCAAAAATCTACAAGATGGCACAGTAGTACTTGTGTGTACCTGTACCTGTCTTTTGGTGATTTCGGGCCGGGTCATGTCCCATGTTCTAAGCTACACAAAACGGGCGTCGGGTCGAATTTGCCTCTGCGGCGCACCAGACGAGCCAGGCATTGAGGAAGGAGGTGCGAGAATACTTGAGCTGAGGCCCAAGCGATCGTTGGGTGACTGGATGTGTTTGTTGTTTGTCCGAACTGACCTGTAACAGTCAGTAAGCAAGTATTACCTGTTTTTGAACAAGGCCTGCAACTGAACCATCATCATCATCATCATCATCATCATCATCATCATCATCATCATCATCCACTGTTGCAGGTATTAGGATAGACCCAAACTGGATGTGTTCGTTGGTTTCCAGCAGTTCCAGTTTGGGTGTGCCCCTGTTTCTCACACATCCACTCACCGGATGGAACAAAACACCACCCAACTCCATGTAACTACTGGTGCGTACTTTGAGACTCCAAATACTTGCTTCTTGATCAGCACGACTTGACTCCCATCAACACTTATTGGACTAGAAAATTCAAGGGACTTGTGACTGTTATATTTGGATCCTTCGACACACTGTTGGTCTTTTTCATCAACTCGATTACACGTGTATTCCGGATCCCTTCACATATAGACCGCCCCCACCTTTCGTCCACCCCCTCCCCGAAGCCGCGAGTTCCACCCCCTCCCCTCCCGAGCATCCGTCCCATCTCTCAGCCGCTCCCAGCCGCTCCCCTTGAGCACGACCTGGGACTGGGGACAGGTAGGCCGCGTAGGTGTGTATTTTAGGAAGACCCCCTGGCCCTGGCCGGGTAGACTGGTCCAAGTTCTCTTCTGTTTCCAGGAGGTGGGAGGTCGCTGCATGGGGTCGAAGACGAAGTGCCAGTTCGGTGTTCTGGTGCCATGAAGCCGACCCCATTTCAGACCTGTACCGTGTGCAGCCCTATATATGGCAGTCCCATGGCCGTTTTAGGTCAAGGTCCGTCGAAATCGACTGCTGGAGACTGGAGACTTGAGCTGGGTCGATCACACGTCGGAGAGCGAGTTGGGTGCTATCCATGAAGGCTTACTGGGGTGCCCAGCTACTCCACGAGCCCTGGATGGGACGAACAAAACCACCCAACTCCATGAGACTCCTGAGGGGGGATGGGGTATATTTGGAACTCGACTTGATGACGTCGGGTCAGATCCATTCCCAGACCATCGGAACGTATATATGCCTACATTGACCCCCCAAACCATTCCCATGTAGCTCCCTAGGGCTTCAAGTACCTTCTACGAAGGTGTTTGGGGTGAGTTTAGAGGGTCCAAATGCCTTCTGAGGAGGTACTTGGAGCCCTAGAGGCTTATAAACTCAGTCCGAAGGTCTGCGATATTCTGGGATCCTGAAGCTTCATCCTCGGTGCCGCTTCGACCCGGTTCCCCCCGGTACGTTCGTGTGTCAGGACTCCGAAGTCTTTGGTTCGGGTCCGATGTCCCCAGGGCCTCAGGGTCGCTACTGCTTCCGTCCAAAAGAGGCCCGGACTGAGACACGAACCGGTGGACGAACAGGTGAACAGTTCCGGCTCGACCTCGCTCAGGTCGGGATCACTTCCGAATCCTTCGGGAGAAGGATGGGCGTTTCCAGTTGGCCCGGCGTCCCAGGAAAAGACGGAGGAAACGGCGGAAGCCGATGTGGCAGATCCAAAGTTGCACGTCATTTCAGACGCAAGTATATAGCATGATTGGCCTTTGGGCTTCGGGTCTCCGTTCGTACGAGATGGGTAGAAGATGTTTATATACTTGTTGTACCATGTCATTATTCTTATTTGTTCAATGGGGTCATGTCCAAAGTTTCCAAGTAGATAAAACAAAAAGCAGTAAACAAACACATGGAGTACTATATAATTTAATAGTATAAGATAGTACTTATATTATAGTACTTCCATGGCGGTTTTTTCTTTGGACTTTTGGTTTGGAGGACACATCAGATCCGGAGCGTCGGGGGGGGGGGTCTCATGGACGTGTGTCACTCCTGGTCACTCCCGGTGGATCTTAGGGGTTCTATAGGTCGGGTTGAACATCAGTTTTATTATAGTTTCATTATGGTAATAAGTACCAGTACCCAGTACCAGTGTTATTAATCAGTGTTATTAATCAGTGTTATTAATCAGTACCAGTACCCAGTACCTATAATTAATCAGTACTGATTCAACTGTAGGGTTAAATTATCGTTTCATTATGGTTTAATCAGTACCAGTACCCTATAATTCCAAGAGGAGGGCTTTGTTTTAATTCGTATTGTAGTCTTTGGCTTTAGTCTTCAGAACCACTGGCTACCAGTGAACGAGTGACTCGGAGTACTATAAAGGGTAGTTTGGGCGATGGGACCTGCAGGGGGCGACCTGCAGCGATGAAGATGTTCATCGACTCATCATGGATCACGGAGGGACATCGAAGAACTTTGGTTCGTTTGTCCTTTTGTTTTAAAGAGGGTAGGGCACCCATCAATCTGGACATTGGAACTATAAGTCTTTTTAGATTGAGCACTGCAGTTAGATCATCCAGATCGTAGACAGCTCTTAATTTGATCATCACCTCCTCAGAGTGTACATGCAAGTTCCAAACACTTCTCAGAAGGTACTTAAAGCCCGAGTTGCTGATGGTTGTCTCAAGTGGATTCAATGTCCTGCTGGAACCCTCCCACTTGCGGCAGACTAACAGTGCGGGCAACCAGCATCATTGGGAAGTACTGTGCTAACAATCCGGGCCCGAACCTAGTGAAAAGGTTTGGGTTCGGAATGGTTCGGGTCTGGACCCTTGCTGTGTGGAGAGGGTCTAGTCGAAGGATTGTTTGGGTGGGAAGTATTTCAGAACTAGATCTCAGGGTAGCCAGGGTACCTGGAGTCTCAGTTTGTACATCAGAAAATGAGTGCAAGTGCTTGTTTTTGTATGGTCATGGTCATGTCCCATTTTCAAAGGTTGCTGCAGGGGGGCCTCTCCAGGTGGATCTCAGGGTGGATTGGATGCTCAATGACCCCCAAGTTTCGTGGTACAACCCTGTTTGCCTTCAACGGGCCCAGCCAAAAGGCAATCGTAGGTTCCTGGACCCTCCAAAGTACCTTAGAACATATTGATATGACCCTGTCCCTAGGGCTCCAAGTACCTTCTAAGAAGGTGTTTGGGGTGGGTTTAGAGGGTCCAAATACCTTCTGAGGAGGTACTTGGAGCCCTAGGGTGTAGAAGCAGGTACTTGTACCTCTTCTCCGAGGTACGAGGTACGGTCGACTCCAGGACCATGGTTCCATTATTCCTCAGTCGAAACCCATGCCCATACCCTGCAAAAGCCGCCAGAAAATGCCACGAGAATTCACACCTGGAAGAGGTGTAGACGCCACCCGGAAAACAACCCTGGCCTCCATAAGCCGCTCTCTGACAACCTGAGAAGATAGATGAAGATCGGGACAGACCCCCCCCCAGCACGCACATCCGCACATGCACCCCAAGCAAACTGAAATGGAGGCCAGGAGCCTGATCCAGTTGGGTCCGGAACTCCTCCCAGGTGGCCTTGAGTTCAAACCCCATTTGGCGCGATCGACGTGGAGCGCCGCGGTGTGAACTGGAGAAAGGCGAGGGATTGGTTGACCGAAGCAGGGATGGAGACCGCTGGCCAAAGTCGTACCTCCACCTCCACGAAGGACCCACGCTAGGACTTCCGGGCGGGTTTCGGCGATCGCTTACGGGTCCGGGTGGCCAGTGGTAACCTACAGTTGGGTGGTTTTGTCCGGTTTGCTTGTTTGGTTTGATGTAGGGCTAACGGAGGACGCGGGACACTTGGTTAGGGATTAGAGCCGGGGCAGTCCTCCCTGCGGGGGGGGGTTGCACTCTATACCCCTTCAAGTGTCAGACACCCTGCTGTAGCCTGACTAGCTCCAGTGGGGTTTTTTCACTTGTCCAGGACCGTGCACTTAACACCGACTCTTGTTTCCACGAGCGAGCGCAGCCACGAATGAAGGCTGGACAGAGCCTGAATTCACCTCGTAACTGGAAACGTCGCTGTGAAGAGGTAACGTGGGGTATGTGGAACGTTCGTTCGTTCTATTCGCAACTGCGGGTGGATGGGGAGGGAAATCTGCAAGTTGAGGGCACCGACCCTGAGGCTCCTGCTGCTTTTTGTCATGTTCTTGCCAATGCCGGAATTTCTTTGTGCTGTTTATCCGAACACCGCTGGCGTGGCGAGGGATCTATTTCTTTTGGTGATCACCTGGTTTTGTTTTCGGGCTTGCCTTGGTCTGCCGCCTAAGCTGAACAGGGTGTCGGTATTGTGCTAAACTCTGCTATGCAACGGGCTTGGAAAGCGGCCGATTCGTTTTGCGAATTTTGGGGAAGTCGTCTGCTTCGCATTAAGCTTGTCATCAACCGCCGCATGATCAATGTGATCTCCGTGTATGCCCCCACCTTTAATTCGGAAGAGCATGTCAAAGACCGCTTCTATGCCGAGTTAACTCGTATGCTTCGCACTATCCCTGCCGCTGAAGAAGTGTTTGTGTTAGGAGACTTTAATGCCAGGGTGGGACGTCCCGCTGCGTCGGACCTGCACGGTCAGACGGATGAAGGTTTCCTCAATGAAAATCTTATTGTTGGCCCTTATAGCTTGCATCACACGAACTCGAATGGCGAGCGCCTCCTGGCCTTATGTGAAAGTGCACCGGTCGGTAAGCTTCGTGTCATGAGTACCTTTTTCCCGCATAAGCACTATGGAACCTGGTTTCATAACAAATTTCGCTGTTGGTTTCAGATTGATCACATGCTAGCTGCCCGCCGCTCCGCCCGCTGTGTTATGGATGTTTGTGTCAAGCCAGGTATTGTTTTCAACACTGACCACCGTTGCGTCAAGGTTAAGCTACGTTTTGCTCCCCCGTCTTATCGTGGACGCCCCTCTCGGCCCCTGTGCCGTCCCGCGGAAACTGCTAAGCTGCCTGCCCTTGCGGTTCACAGGCTGTCAGATGCACCGGTTGCTGATGCTGTTAACTCCTGTCTGGCTGATTTCCTTGAAGATGACTTGCTTGATGAGTATGGGACATGGGCTCATGCCCTGCGTCAGGCCGCGGAACAGTTTGTTGGCCTTCGTCTGGCGCCGGCTGGTCCACAATGGAAACTCGATCATGCTGCGGACCTCGCCTCTATCAGTCGCAAACGGCAGGCCGCTTTTGCCGCTTGGAAGCAGGGTGGCTCCAAGGCCGTGTTCCGTGCTGTGTGCGCCACCTGTAAATGGGAAGTTGCGGCCGTGCTAAACACCTGGTGGGCCAATAAAGCGGGTTCCATTCAAGCTTTTGTCGATGCCAAGGAACCGCAATCTCAATTCGCTGGGTTCCGGGAATTACGGTCAGTGCTTGCGTCTGGTCATCGTCCGATCCCCAAGCTCCGTGATTCGGCTGGGGACTGGGTTCACACCAAATCTGGGCGTCTCGCTCGTTGGAGTGCGTACTTCGCTGACCTGCTCAATGTTCCTGCCTCGGTGACTCCGGAGTTTGTGGCCGGCCTTGCTGTTTTGCCTCCTGATGCCAGCCTTGGTGCTGTTCCTACCTTCGCGGAGACTGTGGCCGCAGTGCGCCGTCTGAAACCGCGTAAGGCTTGTGGTCCTGATGGCCTGCCGGGGGACGTCCTTCGTCGGCTCTCGCTCCCTAACCTGCGTGTTTTCCATGAGCATTTGGTCCAGGTTTGGCTTAGGGCTGTTGATCTACCAACTGCCTGGCGCGCAGGGTACATTGTACCACTTCCTAAGTCTGGTGATCTGACTCACTGTGCCAATTGGCGTGGCATTATGTTACTTTCGGTTCCCGGCAAGCTCTTTGCTCGTGTTATTGCGTCTCGCCTCCAGGAATATGCCGAGACCCGCGGGCTCTTGCCTGAATGGCAGTGCGGTTTTCGTACCGGACGGTCCACGATTGATATGATCTTTACTCTTCGTATGATTTTGGAGAGCGCCAATCATCGGAAAGTCCCGCTCTTTCTGCTATTCGTTGATCTTATTAAAGCATATGATTCCGTTTCCCGTCAGGGCCTATGGAACGTCCTGAAAGCCAAAGGAGTGCCACCTGATCTGCTGTATTTGATCCGTCGGTATTACTCTCATAAAACTGCCCAGGTTGCCTCGGAGGGCTCTCTCTCCGGCTCCTTCAATTTGGAAACCGGTTTAGGCCAGGGCTGCTGTCTTGCCCCGCTGCTATTCAATATTTACTTTGGCGCGGTTATCGAAACGTGGTTGGCCTCCCAACCCAACCGCCTGGTCTGGTCCACTCGAGTTGATGGCATCCTGCGTCGGCAGGCTGATCTTTCTAAATATGCCATCCACGAAGCTTGGCCTTTCCAAGAATTGGGGTATGCGGATGACCTTGCCCTGATCACTGACACACTGGAGAAACTCCGTCATGCTCACACCCGTTTTGCTGCACATATGGTTCACTGGGGCCTGCAGGTTTCTGCCAGTAAAACTAAAGCGCTTGCGTCCTTGGTTCATCATGTTGGCTCCCTGGAAGAGGTTCCCTCTACTGACCCGCCGGTTGAGTTTGTTGATTCTTTCCGGTATCTCGGAAGTCACATCGATTGGCAGCTTACGTGCTCTCCCGAAATTACGTATCGTCTTGATCAAGCTCGCAAGGCTTTCTGGAAACTTGCTTCCTCCGTCTGGGATGTTAAGCAACTGGCCCTTCAGACTAAATTACGTGTTTATCGTGCCTGTGTTCTCTCGGTGCTGCTGTATGCGTGCGAAACCTGAACGGTGTGGTTTCAAATGCGTCTCCGCTTGGAATCTTTTCACATGCGCTGTCTCCGCAAAATCTGTCGCGTCAGTCGCTGGGACCAACAGGTCAAAGGAATCTCCAATGAACATATTCGTGGCTTCCTGGGAGTGCCCACGATTATGGACTTAATTCATCAAGCTCGGCTGCGCAGGATGGGTCACCTGGCCCGGATGCCAAATGACCGCCTGCCTAAACAAGCGTTGTTCTCCTTTCTTCCGCAGGATCTTGGAACCCACCGCCTGCCCGGATTACAAGGAGGTAAGCGGCTCCGTGACGCGTTCGCTGATAGCCTCAAGGTTGCTGGTTTCCCGTTGGCTGGCTGGATGCAACTCGCTATCAATGATGATGGCGTGCCCTGGAAGAGGGCTACCCGCTTAGTGGCCTGCTGGTTTGCTCCGTTTGCTCCGGTGCCTCATTCGACTCCACCGTGTCGTGCTGCTGAGCTTGCTGCTATCCGGGCCGCACCCATTCCAACCCGCTCTAGGGGTCGTGCCGCAGAGCTAACTCGAGCCTGCCGCGAATTTGACGCATTTATTCAAAACAATGAAGGCTTTCTCAGTTGGGAGCATCGCTTAGCGCCTGCTGCTTCCCCATGGCTTGCCATAGATGAGGTTGCCTCTACAGCTTTGGGAACCGAGTGGTTCTATCAGCCAGTTACGGAAGTAGTTGACCAATTGGTTTCGCTTCGTCCGGACTGGGACCGGTGTTTTGCTACTGGTGCTGACTTGTCTCTTTTCTCCATGTCTGTATTCTCTGCCAAACAATTGGCGGCCAACCGCTCCGCTGACCCTATGGTGCTGTCACCGCTCCCGCCTACTAGCAGACGCACTCGTCTGGCATCTAAGCAAGCCCGCCCTCCAGCTTTCTTTAGGTCCGTGTTGCCGCCCGACCGTGCTGCCGAAATGCCAGATCGTGCTGTGGACAAGTATTGGGCCAAGCGCCCAGCCCTTGAAGGTGGGGAAGGTCCGCATGAGTGTCCTCTGCCGGGATGTGGTCGTCGCTTTACTACTAAATCGGGTTTATCTTGGCATATTGCTAAGTCCCATAAACAGGGTACCTACCGTGACCGCACTTGGGACTGTCCTCACTGTCCCCGCACTTTTGAATTGGAGGATGGCCTGACCAAGCATTTACCGCTCCATCGAGCTGGCGCTCATCCAGTGATTTGCTGTGACTGCGGCGCCTATTTCCCAGGCAAACCAAGCGCGCGCATGCATGTGAACCATGTGCATCCTGCGACTAAAGTTTCCTTACCATGTTATTGCCCTTATTGCCCGGGTGAGGCGGCTCCGTGGCTGACGTCATCTCACATGTTCTCGCTGCACAGGCTCAAACACCACGTCTACGTGTGAGTTTTTCCTGATTTTCTTGCTTCTCTGCCAGCTGATGCCATGTCGGGCCGTCGTTCGTCTCGTCGTGATGGTGATGGCGGCAGTGGTCGGGTTTCTCGTGAGGATCTTGACCGCTTGTCCGGCCGGGTGGACCGACTCCACGACCTGGTTGACTCCACCGGTCGTTTGGCTCTCCAGACCGCACACAGAGTGGGGTCAGCGGCCCAACGTGGCCTGGTCTTTTTCTGTAAAGGGTCAGTTAAACAAGACCTCGTCACGGCATGGACAAGTTGGAAAACCACCTCCCGGCTTCCTCCCGGCGAGCGCCCTTCTGTGCGCCCTACTCCGTGGAAGGTGCAGGTGTCGGAGCGGTTCTTGGCGTACATCATGGCCGGAGCCCGGGATGTGGCAGATTTGGGGCAGCACGCTGAAGGTCTCGTACCCCTATCTACCATGGTGGAAGCCATCTCACATGGTGAACCCAATGATTCGGATCCGTGGCCGATCATTGTCACCTTTCGCAACAGCGAGCAGGCGGTTGGTCTACGTGAAGCCCTTCTCCACGAAAGATGGCGCGTGCTCCAGGGGCGGGACAAGGAGCTCGGCTGGCGTCCGGCACGCCATATGGCCAGTGGACCAGCCCGGGCGGTTTTGCAAGGCCTGGGCCTCGAAGCCAAGGGTGGCGGTAAAGGAAAACGCCGATCACCGAAGCGGGAAGGAAGTGCAGCACCCCGAGCCGAGCCCGCTCGCCGTGCGCGCACGTGAAGGACTGCGGTATATTGTTTTCTTTACACCTTCTTATTCTGTGCTTATGTCAGGAGGTGCTGCCCTCCTTGACTTTGTATCCAGAGGGTGCCGTCCCTCTTGGACATGCTTGGCTGAGGGTGCCGTCCCTCATGCCTTCGGTGGCGGGTGGTTCCGATTTCGGCTCGTTTGTGCTGCGTTGCTGGGTGCCCCCTGTGCTGTTCTCGCTTCTGCTTCCGGCTTGTGCCTGTTGTGCCTCTTGCCCTCCCTGTTTGCGGCTTGGTTTGCCCTCTGCTGCTCTTGCTGCTGTTTTGTTCTCCCTCTTCTCCCCCCCCCTTCCAGCTCTGCTGACAGTTTTGGGGTGGGGTTGAGTTGTGGGTGCTGGGGTGCCGTTGGCTGCGGGCCCCCTTCGTCTCCCTCTCCTCCCCACTTGTTTGGTTGCCCGGGTTGTTTTTCGTCGATTGTTTCTTTATTTCCCCTGCTTATGTTGTCCGCTTTCTCGGTCAGTTCACGACGCTGGCACGTTTCTCGTGCCCGGTTACTTTGTTTTTGTTCTTATGTGAAAGTTGACTTCACCCTGTTTTGCAGGAGTGTACGCAGGTATGCCCGATACGGGCGATATCCTTCTACCACGGATGGAGACCGGCGAAGCAGGGATGGAGGTAGTGATCAAGGGAGACCGGTTTGAGGTAATGAGTCTCATTCTTTTAGGGATCCATGGGTGGAAAGTATCACCAAAGATCCCAAAACTATGAGTTTCCCCTATATCTTCCCTTAATTAAACCGCAGGATCTAGGAACTTGCTGTCAGGATAAATGATGTGTACAGACCCTTTGAGAGGGTGACGCTGCACGGTGTTTTCGGAGACTTGGGGTTTGGGTCTCCGGTTGTACCGAAGTCGTGCTGAACCGAAGGAAAAAAGGGATATGGCTCCCTATACCAGGACCCGACACCGCGGGGTGCCCTGTCTGGAAGCCGAACGGCCAGTAGTGTGGGGTAGTTCACACTCCTTGGACCCCGACAGGAGGGTCCTGGTATAGAGTTGTGACTTGTAAAAAAGAACAATAGTCGGATTGTCCTTTTGCCGTGAGGCGGACACTATCTTACAGAGTGTTTCATCTGTACACCTATCGACTTGTCGACACCGAAAGTGGGTTAAGGGTCTGGTCCCTCCAGGCTCGGGAAACTACAGCAAATTCATCCCTCGTTTCAATGGATGATTTCACCTAATTGACCACCCATGTACAAACAGTTTACTTAACAAAAGGAGCTCCCCCAATCAGACTCACCATCCCAACATCGGGCCATGTCATTTTCGCCCCAAAGCCAGCCATGGCGTCCTTTCGGGTCTGACGTGGCGTCCTTTCGCCCGCCAAAAGCCGCGGGTGAAGTACGACCCCGGAGGGGGCGACGGCACACGCGTCGACGCGCGACACGCGGAGGCGATGCTCCACTCTCCTTAGCCTCGGGAGATGAGATCCTCCTCTTCACCGGCGCCACGGAGCGCCGCGCTTCGTGGGCGTCGCTGGTGACGGTGGTGAGGCGGTGGTGAGGGCGGTTGGGATCGTTGGTTTCGGGGGAGGGAAGAGTTGATTAAACAGTGACCTCCTTTGTTGAACCACCCCGATGTAGCTAAATATAGCAGTCCCGTGACATGAACCGAACAAAAAAACAGGTACAAAGAGTCAAAGAGCAAACACTTTCTGAGGTACGAAGAGGTCGACTCCGTCTCATATCCCATCTCCTGCTTTGTATCTTTCTCTCTCTCTCTCTCCCTGTCCTCCAACATCGCTACTAGTTTGGAGGCCATTGCTATAGGGTTGGCCTCTCTCTTCCTTCCCTTCCCTTCCCTTCCCTTCCCTTTCCTTCCCTTTCCTTCCCTTTCCTTCCCTTTCCTTCCCTTCCCTTTCCTTCCCTCTCTCTCTCTCTCTTTCCCTCCCTGCCTCCCTCCCTGCCATAGCGCTCTCGAGGACTGCACGCCGGATGGCCCGGAAAATCTGGGGACCCTCAAATGGCCCGGGCCCCGCCAGCGTTGCCGGGACACGTTCTCCTTGGCATTTTGAATTTTGCGGGGTAAGGAGCGAAGATTAACGAAATTGTGGTCACTTGCCGGGGAAACATCATGATAGACTCTTGATTTAGCGACCCCCTCCCAGACAGACATTGCAACATACCGCATTCGACTGTCGTTTTGAGGTGATGTTCATCTTTGTTTGGTGCATCAAGAAGAACATGGCCAGAGTTACAAACACCTTCCACAACTGTCGTTTTGAAGACAATGACAACTGTTTATACCTGGACCCGACTTCAAGTAACTTAGAGAATGGGTTTGAGACTCCAGGTGTAGTCATTTGATTTGACATCGCAATGGAGTGACACCACATGCGGAGTCCGGTGCGTTCTTTCGTGTGGCGACCTTGCAACGCCCGCGCGAGACAGTTGGCCTCGAAAAGGTCACAAACAGGAACTCCAGGTCGTTCAGTCACGAACTGAAGAAACTGGGTTTCATTCGGCATTTTTTGATAGGCTTATGATACTTCCACATGGGGTCGGATTGGTTGGTCTCCCTACGTTCACAAAAAAAAAGGCTCGGTAGTAAACACTGGCTGTCACAAGGGAAGCACTGGCCGTCAGGTATTTGCAGGGGATCTCGATCCTCAGTGGGACATCCTAAAAATACGGCCTACCCGGCAAAAGTGGAGAACCGGCTCAGGAGTCAGATTCCTACAAGTAACTATATAGGTTATCATTCAATCAATCAACCTGAGATATCCTGAGATCATGGACCCGGCAGTTCTATATTTCTTAGAGTTGCTGGCTGCAGGATGTATTTGATGCTGTGATATCAAAAATGGTTGATTCTCTATCTTATTCTTGTACGTTTTGCCATGTTGCAGCCATGTGGTCTTGCTGTCCCTTCATCATCTCTAGCTCTCAGTTCGAGGCGCTTCATCCAGAGCGATGGACGTGCCAAAGCCGGGCGACCCAATGGATTTAAAGGTCGGAAGAGGTGCCAATCGATTTGTCAATTGAGTCTATTGGATCTGTGTTTTTGAGCGTGGTTTTGCTGGATTTTTGTTGTTCATTTGCATCATGCTTTCCTGGAGTCCTTTCATTCCCTGGCATGGCAAGTGTAGGGGAAGATTTTAGTCCTTTTTGTGTCCGCTTCTGACATCAACAGATCCAGGCGTAGGGAATGGATGTGATTCTACATGTGCAAAGTCAGAGGGCAAAGAGAAGGAATTTACAGTTACAGTCCAGTGAGATGTTCTGTCGTGTCGCGGTTTCCTTTGTTCGACGCCATCGAAAAGGAGAGCGCGGTGCACCCCTCGTGGTGCACCCCTCGCCGACCGATGTGCTCTCAGCGCTCGGTGCCGTGGTCCGGACCGGGGAGAGAACGGCGGAGCGCCGAGCGGAACGTCCACGGACGCGAACACGTGTCGGGTGCGGAGAAAACAGATGCCATCAGCCTGGGCAACTACGTGTCAGTCACCGACCACTTGGAGGCAAAGATCGAGTTGGACAGGTTGGAGAAGTTGAGACTAGTTGGGCTATATGGTCAAGGTGACCAGAGAGGAGGTCTAGAAGGCGAACTTGAAGGGCACCACGGTTTCTCGGCTGGGCCTCATCAGCAAGCAAGAGGCCGAGGGGATCAACTTGCACTGGTCAGGCGAAAATGCCCAAACACCTGTCAGAACGTTTGGAGTCACTAGTGGGCCGTTGTTTTTTCACCGGCAGCAGCGAAGAGGCTCCATAATGAACAACTTGGGAGTGCACCGAAACAAGACAAATCCGACTCCAAGTACCTCCTCAGAAGGTATAATTATTTGGACCCTCCTGGCACCCAACCCAGCCCCACTTTAATCTCAGGAGGTACGACTGGAGCCCTAGTGGCTGATAGGGATTTAATGTCCTGCTGCAACCCTCCCACTTGACAAACACATCTTGTGCGGACAACCAGAAAATATCACTGGGACTGAAAAAGCGTCACCAAAGACGAAAACCATCATCCGACCTCATCACTGGTTGGTGCCACCATGTGCGTTAAAAGCACATACTCCCAAAGGTGTTGATCCCTACCAGCGCCATCCATCGATTTTGCGATTCACTGTGAAACTCTCAGGATCCGGTGCTGGACAACGAGACCATGCGATCAGTCAAGAGGCACGAGTCGGCCGAAAGGAAACTTTGAACAACCAATCAAGCTATTCGAATCTGCTTGTTCCCCACCTGCCAGGTGAGGGTCTTTAGATTTCAACAAAAGTGTTACTCTGCCCTCCTTCCTCGCACTTCCTGTTCCTGCCATGTCGTCATGTCACGGTGAGTGCCAGCACACCATAGAGCTCCAGCCCATGCGCGGCCGTAGCACCAGGTCAGGTCAGTTTGTGCACGCACAAACCTGCACACGATGCGAAACGATTGCCAGATAGAATGCCAGAAGATATTGCCAGTTAGAACGTCACGAGATTTGCCAGCTGGAATGATAGAAGATATGCCAGATAGTTTGCCGGAAAGGATGTCGTAAGATCAGAGGCAAACGGAAGGGTAGTGCACCGAAAGAGTTTTGCAAAAACCTATTCTACTAACATCGTGGAAGGCGCGGGACATTCGTGGAACCCGGGGCTATTCGTGGACGTTTCGTGGAATGGCGGGCCAGTAGGAAAACTGACTGAAACAAAATCCCAGAAACCTTCGTAGAACTTCGTAGAACGTATTTTTGATGCACTAACTTCGTTTAAGCGTTTTGGCTAACCCCCTTTCTCCACACACACCCTCCGTTGAGCCTTCATAAGATATGCCGCTGCCAGTTAGAATTGTCGTTGTTTGCTGCCGGAACAAGTGGCAGGTTTGATCTGGTTTGATGGCAGAACAAGCGTCGGATACACAAGGCTGAACACATGTCAGAACATATCAGAACCGAGGCTGGACCATATGTCGCTGCACATGTCAGACTTCACGGCCGGACAAATGTCAGAACACTTGCCAACAAGGACGTCAGGACCGGGTCCAGAGCATTTCCACGATTTCCAGTCTTTATGAAAGATGATGTGTCAGAACACATACAGTACCAGACTTGATGCCAGAACAAGTGTAAAAATGTTTGCGTCGGTGTGGGGTCACTCCAAGTTTTTTTTAGTTGGACGGCCAGATTGTAGTGCTGTTGTTTGCCACACCAACTGTCGCATGCGCACCTGCCAGGAACAGTCGGGATAGCAGCCCGAGGCAGGGGGCGCAGGGCGGAGGGTGCGGCAGAATCTACATGGACCTTCCCTTCTCAAACAAGCACTTGCACCGAAGCACACCTAGAACTGAGTACAAGTACCAGTCTTCGCCTGTTTTGGTACGATGTCTATTGTATGACGGGGTATATGTGTTTTAGGCACCCTGACTGAGGGTGCAGGTCTTTTGTTTGCCTTAACGAATCCGACAGCTGCAGCAAAATGATTAAGATCCCCAGATCCCACGATTGCCACTTCGGTCCCAAATTGGCAACATGGACATGTAGCAACCAGTCACAAGGTTCATCCAACAAAAATCAGGACTACCTTCATCCTTGTCAACTGTCGTGTGTCCTTCTTCTTGGTTGTACCTGGCTAGCACCTGGCCTGACTACAATTTGTTTGTTGTTCACCATGTCACACCCTCTTCTGAAGACAAGCAGCACCTTTGGGCCCTTTGCACATTCTCCGACCAAGGAGTTTGATCCAATTTCCACCCCTCCAAGCAGCGAACACTCAATCCAGCAGCTTTCGACCAAGGGGCGTGCACCACGCAGGCACGCGACTGACAGGGCGGGGTGGTCGTTTGGACATTGAGACCGTTTTGGTCAACCATTGAATCATTACCCATTGGAAGGAAGATGCCGGTGCCTTCGCCCAAACACGAGCAGCTCAGATTTTCTAGTTGGGTTGAAACGACGGAGTCGATCATGCTCTGGAATCAATCCCTCTCCCATACACTCCATGGGACTGGAATATATGCCGCCCCTTTGACCCCAGGTCAACCACCCCAACGTATGCAGTGCTATGCCAGTCCCATGGGTCGTGTCTGGGTCCATGGGTCCGCACGTCGCTTTCTTTTTCAGGTCTGAGGAAGGATTTTTTTGGCACCATAGGGTTGCATCCTACCGGGTTGATCTTCCAATTTACCTGGAGTCTCACAGTCCTAAGTGCCAGGTTTTTTTCTTCGGTTCATGTCCCATTTCAATCCCTAGGGATCCAAGTACCTTCTCAGAAGGTGATTGGAGACTATTTATGTAGGCTTGGAGGGCCCAAGTACCTTCTGAGAAGGTATGTGGATCCCTAGGGAATGTTCGTATGACCCCCTAGGGATCCAAGTACCTTGTCAGAAGGTGAGGAAGGAGACACTGTTATAACATGTCAATGTTCGACATACTTTGGAGGGAGCTACGCAGGTACGCGGGAAGCTGGCCCCTCCGCCGCTAGCCGTTGTCCGAGGTACGAGGTACCTCCAGGTATAGGGTTGAAGTATGTGTCTTCATATACCTAGAACCTGAGTGACCCCTGTTTTGGAGTCAAAACATGGTCTTTA